CCCCAAAACCCCAAAACCCCAAAACCCCACAAAGCAAACTACCCTACTCGATATTTCCAATCAATATTTAACTCTATCTTCGTACTCAAAATTACATCATGCACTTTAAACCCAATCTTACTAACATTCCTCCCCACAGTTATTTGTACAGCTGGCATAACCCTAAACCCGCAGTCACTAAAGAGCAACGAATTTAGCCAGCTTAACAAAGCCATGCTCCTACCTGATCGCATAAGCCTTCTTAAGGATTCTGTACAAAAAGTGGGTGCAGATCTAGACTTGTGCGGCTAAGATCCGCAAGATATTTTAGAAATGTTCTGATTAATTACTAGGACTTCAGACCTGGTTCAGAATAAACAAACACGGCAAGACTGGTCAGGCAGAATGAGACTTCAGAGTAGAAGACCAGTAGTACCTAGGAATTAGACATTATAAGAGGATTTCAATACAAGGAGGTGAGAGTCGGATTTTAAGAACGGTTGATTGCAAGATTAAAATTATGAAGGAAGATGAGAGAACTTCTTAGTCAATCTTGAACATCTGTCAAGATATTCCTTTGATCCAATCGTGATTTCAAATTTTGTCTCTAATCTTTGACTTATAAGTCTCTTAGACATCTCATGAAAGTCGTTGCTGACTGGAGCGGATGGATCAGAAGCTGAAATACGTACAAATCTTAAGTTTTGAAGATTCTTCAAAGTATTGAACAAGTTCTTTATTGTATTACTACAACTTTGTGTTCCCCAATTTCTTGAAATACTGAATTCTAACGATTTGAGATTTTTCTTGCTTTGTAGGAATTCAACAAACTGACTAAGCTCATACGTAGCGTCTAAATCTCCACTAATTTTCACTGAGACCAAGTTTTTGGAGTCATAAGTGTCAAAGAACTTGGTCAATTTTTCACTGTCTTCGTCTCTACTGATTTCAGAGGAGCGTGAAACCTCTAATTCAATTTTTGTGTCTTTGTGCAGAACTTTGATTCGATTCAATATCCTTTTAGTCACTTTGTCCAATCAGATCGAAACTGTCAAAGTTTTCACTGGAAGCAAGGGGATGTTTTTAAGTGTAAGTTTACTTATATCTTTATGGAACCGCAAAATATTCTTCATGGGAATAATAATTTTGTTATTCTTGAGGATTTCTTTATTAACACCAACATCATCAAGAGGTATAACATCAATAATGTCGATATTAATTTTGACTGATTCTTTATCAAGCACTAAGCATTCTTTGTAAGTCCAAAATTTATGTGTATAATAATACTGAAACCTGCTTTCAAACTTCTTTATGACCAAGGCCTTATCTTTGAAAATCCAATATGCTAGATTTGTTTGTAACTGGGGCTCTGAATTGGAATAAGAAACTTCCTTAAACTGTAAGCTAAGACCACTTTGTATACAGCTCTGTGTGAATGAAACTATAATTCCAAATAACGATTCTTCTTTAATTGAATGGGGATGTCCATTAAACAAAACCAGAAGCCTTATTGTCTTGAGTCTACAATTGTGGTGTTGATAATCCTTGCTCCACAGCTTTAGTTTCTCAGAAATCTCTGTTAGAGAAATATTATTATCTGAAATATCTCTTAAAAATACTTTGATCTCTAAGACAGAAGAAAGAATGTTTCGGAATACTTGTTCAACTGGTGTTGTCTCAAGATTCTCCATAATTTGTGTTATAATTTTTCAAAGTGACCTTTCCTCTTCCAGCATTTCAGTGTCCTCATTTCCTAAGACTGGATAACTTTTCCAAAAAATGATTTTCTCTGAACCTCAAGTTTTGAAAGCCCGGCAGTCTTCTCTTACCTCAAATATTTTAGGAGGGACAAAATATTTTCAGTCTTCGAGCTCATAGACTTCAAATTCCTTATGAAGCACTTTTGCTAATTCCTTCATATTATTGAAAATTAAGGTGGGATCATATCTTCTAAAATCATCATTTCATAAATAGTAGGACTTTCTAAACAAAGCTGACACTTTTGATGGTAACTGTTTTCATGTCAGTTCCTTTAAAGATGATATCTAGAAACATCTGATCAACTAATTGAAATTCAAAGACTTTGAACTCAAGTTGATACAACTTAGAAAACTCACTCATCATGAATCGTCTAGTGTCCAAGACATGTTCTTTGTTTATTCGAAACTTCCAATGCAATGCAACTAAAATTTGTAAAGACTTCTTCTTCAGTATAAGTCTGACCTCATCTTCTTCACCAGGGTAGTTCCTCAGCAAAATATGTCTGTTTAGGTTCCAAAGACTTCTGGAACCACTTCTCAGCTGAATCATAAGCCCCCTGCATTCATCTGCATATCCATAGTAAGGCAGAATAACAGAAGCTAACGGCAGATTGGTCAGAAACTCTTTGGTTAATCTTGACGATTGAAGAGTTGTCTTCATCTGGGCAAAGTCCCAAATTGAGGGAGTTTCCATAATAATTTCAATTATAAATTTTTAGTCTGGGGTTTTGGGGTTTTGGGGTTTTGGGG